TAAACCCGTTGACTTTGATTTTGACCGAAGATTCCAAATTTTCAAAAAGCCATATTATTATATGCTTGCGACGTCCTGAATCCGAATCCGAAGTCGGTTTTACCAAATTCGAACCCGGTAAGCTGTTTTTGACTGATTTATCATCCGATTCGATCCGTTTTTCAGAATTAAGCTTCGTTTTTGATGTAATTTCTGTTTATATGGATCCGAGGAAATATTGGAAGTTAAATTGAAGATCAAAGGTGTTCGAATGGAATTTTTATGGTCGATCAGTATTGCACAGAAATCGAGGTAATACTTTACTACCTCTTTATGCTTTATGGAACATGTTTATATTGATAAATGCATGAACAAGATAATGTTTGTCACTTTGGTGGAGTTGAATAATTTATACACTTGATATGATGTGGTAGAAATTCTGTAACTGATTACGGATCGAATGACTAATATAAGAGATTGAGAAATTGTTAGATTAAATTACAAGTTTGTGATTAGTGATAAAGAAATCAACCCTGTATCTGCAACTTATAATTTATTTCATCAAAGGTTAAATGTTAAAGGTACTTGGATGAGAAATTATGAGAATACTCTGGTAGGTTAGAATTACGAAAATACCCTTATGTTATAAAAAGACAAGATTTGAATATGGAAGTTAGATAAGAGGATTTTACAGATATATTGATCTGATAAAATATTGATGTGCATAAGAAATGTTAGTTTTATTTGGAAATTATGGATAACCGATTTTTAATCCTATGAGAGTTTGTGAAGAATACTAGAAGTTTGTTAAGAGAACCGTTTCAAGATCAGAGAGTATTCAAGAAAGCAATTAATCATAGGATCTCTAAATTATATTATTTTCGTTAATAGCTAATATCGAAATTATCTGGTTAAGAAATTACGGAAATACCCTTAAGAGGTAGAATAGTCTGAGTTGACTCTGAATGAGAAAATACTTAGGGGATTCATACTTAACTCGATTAAGTACGGATTTAGTTGTTAAGATCCTGACTTAGTGCAGGAAAATTCCTGATATTCCGTTTGTAAAATCTGAGAAGACATTTGACCCGTAAATATTCGAATAATGAGTAAATACTTGAAGAATAACTTATCGGGGGTATTCTGCTGTCAGAATTGTTCAAAAGGACTGAAGTAAATGATAAGATTGAATTAAATAATAAGACCGGATGGCAGGAAAAGATTGAAATACCGTGGATCTGTAAAATGACCAAAATACCCATGTAATGGAAATGACCCAAGAATATCACCAAGCTCAGGAATGATTGGATATCCTCGAGCTCTAAAATAAATAGAATAAAATTGAACACCAAAATTACCAAAATAACCTTATGGCCTAAACTAAGTAAATACCTTGGATTAATTAAGGAATCCAAATAAGCATAGATATTGGACTACCTTTAAAAGTTATGGAACAAAACTTAAGTGAGCCGATCAACCTTAATAATATGTCAGTACCTGAACGACATAGATATTACTTGAATGCATGTTCGTCTACTCAAGTTTAGCTCAATGATAATTTTGGAAGTATTCAGCTCAACTCTAGATTGCATTCGGTACTAAGAATTGGATATTTGTTCGACTAATCAACCACGAAGACCAAACTGAACTGAACGGAAGTACAATATGTATCTGAAATTCAGAAATGTATTGAATTACTCTGGAAAATCCTGAAGTAATTGGAATAGACTTGAATGCTAAATGAACTAAGCAACCTCAAGCACTAAAGATTAAGTAAGTGATGTGAATGAGTCTGGAAACATTAATGAACATACACAATGTACTGTTCTTCTGGATCATGAACTACAAATCAAGCACGTCAGTATTTCATGATATATTGGAAGCGTAAAATTAAAATAAAGACATTGGAATATCTATTCAGTGATGATTCTAAAAATGATCTATGGATAAGAGTTTGTGGTATTAAAGAGTAAATACCCAGGAAGAACAATGAATTGATCAATCGACAAGCATTAATTTTGGGAGTTATTCATTTAAGAGTTGTTTGATAATCCGATCAATCGACATAGATTGTAAATGTCCCGAATCTTCATTTCTTCCTTACAGCTCAAGTTATATTCTGAATAATTGATGATTTTGTCAGTTATTGAACTCTTCCAATAGTGATTCTGAATTCCGATATTCTATCGGCATACTGAATAACTGTGTTTCTCTGCCTGATACAGTACCTTTAAATAATACCTATAAACTCTGGTGTGTTCCCTAATTATATAAATATTTTATCTGATTTCCGAATTGAATTCTGTTCTGATACGTTACCTGAATTCTGTTCTGATTCTGATCTGGATTCTGTTCTGATATCTGATATGAATTCTGTTTTGATTTCTGATATCTACGTTTACCGACGGAGAAATGTTTTATCTGGGGGGTTTTATTGTTGGAGGAAGATTACTGCAGGCTCTTTGGCTGTGTGCTCAGGGCCTTACTGTTACTGGTTGTGCGGAGTGTATGGTTCCGGGGAACCTACACAAACAGATTGTAAAAGGATGGGGGTATATATATATATATGCTTTAAAAAAATATGTATCTTTTTACTGGTTTTATGGGAACACACTAGATAACCTATTCTGATCTCCTGAACTTAGTCATCCGAAATATTTTGTCTGAACTGAAAGCTCATTGTCCGTTACCATCTGAAATATCAGTAGGATCTCTGCTCAGTATAAAAATATGTAAATATTCGAAAATAATAAGGATATGTATGTTTATCTGTATCAGCACGTTATTCATCATCATCTGGTAGTTCTGTATTACTGAGCTTTTCAAAGCTCACTCTATTACTCACATTTTCAGGTTAAAAGAATTGTACCAGTGCATCTATCGACTTCAGTAAGGGAGTTCTTTCGGCATTGTTGCAGAGTATGGTACATGTGATTAGGGGGCATGCAATTGTATTTTGATTTATATACGAGTATGAAAATTTGTTTTATTTTTAAATAGTGATAACTTTTATTTTGTAGTGGCAAATGATTTTATGAATTTACATGTTCTGATAAAAGGTTTTAAATTTTCCGCTATTTTTACACTGGGTCGCTCCGGTGGCCCTAATGTGACTTCCCGGATCAGATCGGGTTACCCGCATCGGTCTGTGGGGGTTACACTTCGCCTGCAATGAGTACATCTGGCCATTGTTATTATGTTCTTTTTCTTGATGATTACTCAGTAAATTCTTGTGGACGTTTCCTATTGCTAAGAAATCTCAAGTCAAACACTTGTTTCAATCCTTTCATAGTCTAATACGTACACAATTTACTTGTGATATTAAGACATTTCAATGTGACAATGGCACGGAATATGTTAATGGCACTTTAAAAGAGTTTTTTAATAACCATGGCATGCTCTTCCGTCTTTCTTGTCCTCATACATCACCTCAAAATAGAAAAGCCGAATGCCACATAAAATCCATAAACAATATAATCTGAACCTTAATTGCTCATACTTTTTTACCGCTTTCCTTTTGGCGTCATGCTTTAGAGATGACCACATATCTCCTAAACATGCTTCCAACCATAGTTCTAGGATTTAAGTCTCCAACTCAAGTTTTATACCAATGTGATCCCATATACTCGGAATTAAGTGTCTTTGGTTGTCTATGTTTTCCTCTCTTCCCATGCACCTCTATTCATAAATTGCAATAAAGGTTCACTCCTTGTGTCTATCTTGGTCCCGCCCTAAATCATAGAGGTCCTAAATGCTATAACATGTCAAGTGGAAAGATAATTATTTATCGTCATGTCAAATTTGTTGAACACGAATTTCCTTTCTCTAAGCTTCACTCACCTCACAAAAACGACTATGATTTTTTGGATTATAATTCAATCTTATATCACTTGGCTCACCAAAGTGTTCCAACTCCTAATTTAGAGCACCAAGCTGACCCAACCTCTTCTCCTGGGCATGTGGCGTCAAACCCACTACAGCCCACACCCTCTGTTGGGCCTACTCCTCTCAGCCCATCTTCGTCTCCTCACTCTCAAGCTGGGCCTTCTTCTTCTGGGCCGAATCTCTCACCCGGTACTGTTGCCCTCCCCATCCCAGACCACCAGCCTACACCCATTCCCACCCCGTTACCAGGTCCTACCCTTCATCAAATGACAACAAGAGCTAAAAATGGCATCTACAAACCAAACACGAAATATTTTTCTAATTTCTTGGCCATGACTACCACTAATATTTCTCCATTACCTAAGAACCCTATTAGTGTTATTCATGACCCAAATTAGAAAGATGCAATGTTAGATGAATTTTAATGCTCTTATTACTAATAAAATATGGTAATTGGTACCTAGGCCACCAGATGTGAATGTAATCAGATCTATGTGGATTTTTTGACATAAAAGATAATATGATGGTTCTTTTGAGCGATATAAAGCTTGTCTTGTAGGTGATGGGAAAACTCAACAGTAAGGGGTTGATTGTGATGAGACTTTTAGTCCAGTTGTCAAACTGGCTACTATTCGTACTGTTCTTAGCATTGCTATTTCGAAATCTTGACCTATTCACCAGTTAGATGTCAGGAATGCTTTCTTACATGGTTATCTCAATGAAACAATATATATGCATCAGACTATGGGTTTTCGTGACAAAAGTTGCCCTGATCATGTGTGTGTTTACTAAAGAAATAACTCTATGACCTTAAACAGGCTCTGCGAGCCTGGTATTAGCGATTTGCAGATTTTGTTGCCACTATTGGGTTTTATAACAGTAAATCAGATAATTCTTTGTTTATCTACAATCAGGGCTCGGATATGGCATATATTTTGTTATATGTTGATGATATCATTCTTACAGCTTCATCTGATCGATTGAGAAAGCACTTTATGGCTCTCTTGGGTACTGAATTTGCTATGAAGGACTTGGGTCCTCTCATTTTCTTTTTGGGGATTGATGTATCCTGCAATGATAATGGTATGCTTTTATCTTAGCAACAGTACGCAATATATATCATTGAAAGAGTTGGTATGGCTAATTGCATCTCTTCTCCCACTCCTGTTGACACCAAACTGAAACTTAGTGCTTCGAAGGATTCACCTTATAAGGATCCCACCAAGTACCACAATTTGGTCGGTGCTTTACAGTATCTTACTTTTACTCGACCTGACATATCTTATGCAGTTCAACAGATTTGTCTTCATATGCATGATCCCAGGAACGAGCATATGAGTGCTCTTAAGCGTATTCTGCGCTACTTGTAGGGCACATTATCTTATGGTCTACATTTGTATAAATCCTCAATCCACAAGCTCATTTCTTATACAGATGCAGATTGGGGAGGATGCCCGGATACTAGACGTCCTACTTCCGACTATTGTGTCTTTATAGGTGACAATTTAATATATTGTTCATCCAAAAGACAACCAACTTTGTCACGCTCCAGTGCTGAGGCAGAGTACCGAGGAGTAGCTAATGTAGTTTCTGATTCTTGTTTGGATCCGAAATTTATTACTTGAGCTTCACTGTCCTATTCATAAAGCTACTCTGGTTTATTATGAGAATGTGAGTGCCATTTATTTATTAGGAAACCCGGTACAACATCAACGTACCAAACATATTGAGATGGACATTCATTTTGTCAGGGAAAAGGTCGCTAAAGGCGAAGTACGAGTCCTACATGTTCCTTCCCGTTATCAGATTGCATATATTTTTACGAAGGGCCTACCTCATATTTTTATTTGAAGATTTTTGGGACAGTCTAAGCATTTGTGAACCTCCCGCTTCGACTGAGGGGTGTGTTAGAATATCTGATAAATATATTCTATAGTTGTATATATCTCCTATTTTTGTAAAGGCAATAATCTTGTGAATATTCTGCCTTATTCTTTGCTAATTATTTCCTAATTTCTAGGCTTAGAATACTCAATGTACAATGTATATATTCTGACGTTTCTAATTGAAATAAAGCACATTACAATCTTTCAAAAAGCCCATGCTCGGATTATGGTGTCTCGATGAGAATCAAACCCGATCTTGATTTCCCTTAGAGGAACGCCGTTAAGTTTGTTCTTAGGGAATTGAATTTGCTACAAGCAGATTCTCCTCCCAAAATGTAGATCAAAACATCGATCAAGCCAATTGCGCACTTTGGATTGAAGATGTTGAAATGTTTGAAGAAAGGTCGATTGCCTCTCATTGTCTGTCGAAAATCAAGAAAGAAAACTGAAGATACGAAGAGCTTTTGTAATTCTCACGAGATCGGATTGAATCGTATCTCATCTATCGGCTAAGAAAAAGTTTAGCCAAGTATGATAGAATTCACACTTGGCGTGTAGAAGAAAGAAGAGATGAAAAAGAAAATGTTTATTAAAATCACCAAGCTAATTAAATCCAAGAAAATAGTACCTCTATCAAGCTTCACCTTGATGGGTATTTATAGCTTGAGAAAACCTAAAGAAAATAAAATCCTAAGATCATTCAAATATTTAAATTCCTAAGTCATAGCAAACTAAAAATCCTTAATAAATAAATAATTAAAATCCTTGACAAACTAGAATCCTAATTAATTAAATAATAAAATCTAAAAATGTTTAAATTTAATTATAATTTTTAATTCCTAAAGAATTATGGTTCACCTTACTTTTCTCCTTTGATCTTGCTGACTTGATTATTTATTTGAAGTTGGTGTCTAACATGGTCTTTCAATCTGAGTTGGAACCGACTACTCCTAGGATTAAGATAAATCTTATTTAATTCTCTCTTTAATTGTTATTTTATGGTAAGTAGAGTCCTGCACAAAATCTAACTATATCACCCAAATAAGTACTATAAAAGGGATAACATTGATTAATTAATAATAAAATATTAACCAAATAAAACACACATCAAATTTCCCCTCACTTATTCAATGCTTGTCCTCAAGCATGCCTTAATCAATTATTAAAATATCAAATTATCAATCCTTTATCTTACAATATACCAAAGAAAACAAAACAAATCAATGGTCACATCAATTATCGAAAGCAAGGTGACAAATAAGCAAATAAGTGTAACTAGTAACAAGTTTAAGTAAAAGCCAAGATATCTCAATCATCTATTAATTTCAATGAAAAAAGACTCAATACCTCACAAAGATTCACTCATTATCACTCAAAGTGTTTAGGGTAAAAGAAATCACTCAAAGGCAAGATTAATAAAGACATTATCATAGGCTTGTAAGAAAATCAATTCTCCACCACTAGAATGAACAAATGCATTTAATCAAAGGGTCTTTAATCAGGTTGTAACGTAGCTTAGGTTAAGGCAAGGATAAGAATGAAAAAATTAGGTTTAAATGTCAAGACAATAGATGAAAATTATATGAGTTCAATCCACGAATTTAACAAAGTAAGCACACTCAAAGAAGCGTAATCAAACAATCAAATTTCCCTATTTTTTTGGTTCTGTTTAAACACTTTATTCGAACCAATGTTTTTAACACTTCTTCTTTCTTCTCTTGATTTTTTCATTTGTGGATTAAATCTATCTCCTGTCTCGACAAGAGTAACAAAAGAGGGTAAAAATAAAAAAATAAAGGGCTTCGGGTTTTTATAATGTGGTAAAAACAAAGAAAATGGTAGAGGCTTAAAGTTGGTTCACTAATAAATATAAATAGGTAGAGAATTTTGGGTAGAGACATGGGTTAATCATGTGGCATAATTATCTTAAAGTATCAAGTTCAACATGTGGTCTTGATATTTATTTAATCACAAGTTCTAGAGTGTTTAAATTAATCTGGCACACTCAATCAAAAAAATGAGCAAGAATGAAAAAATATGCTTGTTTAGGCTCAAATCTCACAAGAAATGGTATTGTGTATTAAATCAAGAAACATATCAACCAACAAATTCATGGATCATCAAGCATAAATTTTAAGAAAAATAATAATCATGTCATTATCATGCACCCTAAATTCGATAAAAGTGTGATCACAAACTCATAAGGTAATCAATGAAACAAAGTAAGAATCAAAATTAAAAACAAGAGACTTCAACATATCAATCAAGGCAACTCAATTTCAAGCATGTAAATAAGCAAGTGATAATTCGATGTAAGTGTTCTCTAAGTTATCTACCCTCTCACTTAAAGAATATTGTCCCAATATGTAAAATTAAAGCATAGGAGAAGGAATATATATACATTCTGTGTTTAGTGACGGCCACGTCCGCGACCTCAGCCAGAGGTAACCAGGCAAAAGTATAATAAAATCTCGGCAAGAGTGGACTCAATGGAATTGAGATGACTGTGCATCTCGTTTAGTTGAGGTTGTATGTTCAAATGCGGATCATCCGTCGGAAGTGGCGCATGTCTTTGAATGAAGACACACTCGCTACAAGGTGTTGTGGTGTCTGAAGGTACAATGAAAGGTATGGCAGGTTTGCCGGTAAGTAATCCCATCATGTCCAAGCATCATAAATCTAATCTAAGTAATCCATAGAAAAATAGTGTTGAAAAAGTCTCGATGCGAGATGAGTTATGTAAGTATGAGGATCAATGGTTGATTGGAGTGCACAACGCGCTTGAAAGTTCGTGTAAACCAAAATCCTAGGCTTACTTTGATGCCAGTAAGCATGCACCAAAGGAAGAATACTTCAACTTTTCTCAAGCTAGGCGTATTGTCCTTATGCCTTGAATATTTGAATGCAAGAAACTAGTGAATGTATGAAGCACGAGATCATAGATATGTCATCCTTTCATCGTTTGTGCATTGAATATTCATCTTAGTGAACCGACCAATACAAAGTAGGCGTAGTTGATTTCAAAATCATGTGGAATCTCAAGAAAATATGTTAAATAGCTTTGGTCCATGAAATCTGTCATGAACCCCATGGTAAAAGTAAATTTAAAATTTGACATCCTAAAGTATTGTCCGAGCAAGTGGAAAGAAATAACATCCAGGAAATTCACGCTAACAACTCGATGCGGCAAAAAGGTAAATATAGTATAAAATTCAAGAACCAATTCATAGTACGTTCCATATTTAATTTTAGGATATAAAGTCCAGCCAATATCATTCAAGTAGTGTGTGATGGATTCTCTTAGATGCAAAGTATCTAAGGTATGAGTAGGAATGTACTTACAAACTTGAAAGTTTCGATGCCAGATATCGTTGAATTGAATTTATTCATTTCTTTGAAGTTCAAATGTCCTTGTAATACTTCGGGTGGTAAGGTAAGATAATGTGATGATGATGCTGGTGAGGGTTGATGTTATCGTGAATGTTAATTATCGGTATCGTTGTGTGACTGAGAAGATTGAACAGAGTTGGAATAACTCGATTCATGATTAAATTTCAAAGCATGGATCTTTGACTTCTTGTTTTCACCATCTTGAAATTTCACAGCAAAAAATTAAGATGAAAATAAGAAACAAAGATGGTGAAATACTAAATTGTGGCACGAGTGATGTTCAGCGATGAGTGGTGATCAACGATGAGCGGCTGTCAGAGGTGGTGCACACGGTGGATGGTGGTCGAGGTGGTGAGTTAGCGTGGATAAGCAAAAAGAAAACAAGAAAAAAGTTTTAAAGGTTTAAAGAAAACAAGTGATGCGTGAAAAAAGAATAAAAGAAAAAAGGTTTAAATAGGGAGAAAAAAAAAGAGTTTAAGTTAAGTAGAAGTTTGATTGGTTTTAGGAAAATAAAATAAAATAAATTTAGGTTGGTTAAGGATTTTGAAAAGAAAAGAAAAAATTTAAAATAAATAATAATAATAATAATAATAATTTAAAAAGGATGGGATTGTTTTGGCTAAAAATATGGAAAAAAAATGTTAGAATTTGTGGTAATTAAAGGGGGTGGGTGACAAAGGGGTATTAGTAGGGTAGGGTTTTGCTAACATGCATCGTGGGTGCTAACGTGTGAGAAATGATCAAACTCGTTGGATTTGCTTCAACTTTTAGCTTGATCAAAGTATTTGGGGTACTTAAAAAATTCAAACAAAAATAAATATGGAACAAAAAATTGAAAATAAATTCAAAACAAATAAATAAAATTAAATTAAATGGAATGGAATGGGTTGCCTCCCATTAAGCGCTTTATTTAACGTTATTTAGCTCGACGACATGGTTCAGACTACAGGTTCTTTTAAAATAATCTCCTCGATCACACATCCTTCATTATTCTAGTAGTATGGTTTTAATCGTTAACCATTTACTTTAAAACAAGTTCCTAAATCATCTTGAATTTCAACTGCTCCAAGGGGAATACTTGAGTCATGGTATAAGGTCCTGACCACTTCGTTCGTAATTTTCCTGTAAAAATTTTCAATTTAGAATTAAACAGCATGACTTTTTTATCAATATTAAAAGTTTAAAATGATATTCGACGATCATGAAAATATTTTGTTTTATCCTTATAAATCTGAGCATTGTCGTAAGCATTGTGACTGATTTCTTCAAGTTCTTGAATGTGTAATTTTTGTGCTTCTCCAATTGCATCCATCTCTATGTTACATTATGTAACCACTCAATATGCTTTA